CCTAAAATAAAGTTTCCTTTTAAAAAGTAAGTCATTTTTTTCAGCAAGGGGAATAACAGTTCTGTTCATGTTGTATTTCTAGCATGTAACATGTAGCAAGTTCTTAACCATATTGTATGTCAGCTCAACACACTAACTACAAAAGATCACAAAAAAGGAACCAGACTGTATAATTTTTTTTTTTGTTGTAGTAGGTTAACTTTCATTATTAATAGATATTAACAATAATGCTGAAATTAGTAGAATTATGCATTCTAATCTTTTTTCTGGGATTTCCAGTTTGTTTCTTCTGTGTTTCTCCCTTGGAGGCCAGTTAGTCACTCAGCCTAGCTGAAGCTCTGGAGCTCTTCGCTGCCTTGTTAAAAACTCCTCCCTGAACTTTAGCATTTGGCACCTTTTGCAAAAGTTAGTTCTCATTCTACAATGAAACAAGTAGAGAACAAAGCGCATACCTTCCATCTTTCAGGGTGTTAACGATGAATCGGTTGACCTGGCAGACACAGTTGCTGGCCAGTTTCTCCCCCTCCACAAGAGGGTTCAGCTGTGTGGCCAACATGAAAGCTGCAAAGCAAAGAGAGAACTTCAGCCTTCAAGCCCTTCCAGTCTAATCTCAAAGCTGATCACAAGGAAAAATCATTAAGTACAGCTGTTTAAAACTCCTCAGGCTCTGCACCAAGGAAAGCAGTGTATTTCTGCCCCACGTTAAGATCTTCAGCCACTCCTAAATGGTATCTATTCCTCAAAGACCCCAGATATTTTTACTGCTGTTGCAGTTTCATGGGGAAAATGAAGGCAACCCTTTCTAGGTCTTTAATGATGTGACTAGAGACAACAGGCAAATGGTCCAGAAGCCACCCACCCTTCCCCACCCCCACCCCCACCCCTTCTTTTTAAAGCTTCTAGGACAGAAATAAAACTGAAAAAGTTAAGTTCAGGATGGCTCACCCATCACACTCACAAAATGTCAATAGTATCCTCAGGGAAATTAATCAAAGAAAACATACAACGCCAGTTAGAGAAAATTAATTAAGCTGAATGGCAGCTTTCCACTACATCCAGTCTATTGTCAGACCGGCTCTCTGCCAGCAGCAACTCTCCCTGAACAAAGCCCACGGCCAATGTGGACTTCAGGTGCTCAAAACACTGCAATCAAAGGGTATGGTGTGCCGCTGTTACTCAAGTATTCCCACCACCTAGATTTATTCATCATACTCACAAGAGAGTGTGTTCAATCCATCACTCATAAGCAGTCGATACCGGGGCGGACTATTCCCTGTAGCAATGGGACGGATGTTCTAGAAAAGTTGATAGAAAAGTTGATTCATTAGCCAAGCTGTCTGCCTAATCCCTAAGGGTAAATAAACCTAAGTGGCGGGAGACAGGGTCTGCCGTTAGTTTAAGACAAGATGAACTGCTTGCCCATCCTCCTGACACCTAAATACAAATGAAAGAAAATTGGATTGATGATTTTCCCACCAAACTCTCTGCACTAACATTATTAAAAACAAAATAAACTGAAATATCAATAATTGTGTGTTCTCTCTCCTGTATCTCAAAATTATGTATAACAAGGCACCTATCACACACAAGGAACTGTTTAGGGAGCATGCTGAAAATACAAAGTGAAATTAAAAATGGAAAGAAAACAATTTCCCTAAAGCAACTAACTCACAGCTGGTGTAAACAGAAGCCCATAGGAGGGCAGCATGTAGACGGAATGATCTCAGGGCAGAGCAGACAATGACTTGGCCTGAAGGGGGTCAGGGGAAGCTTCTGAAGGAAGCTGACTAAGCAAACAGAGCCTGAAGGAGACTAGCCCAGGAGGGGTGACCATCTTCACCTACTGTCTCAAAATCTGCAGGAATGACCCTGGGGTCTCTCTTCTAATGATATTTGAAATTCATATTACATTTTAGAATCCCCTAAATGATGGATCAATCAATTAAAAGAAATGTAAGTAGTAAAGCCCATCAAAAAATTTTTAGTATGTACTTGTATGTGTGGGGGTGTGTATATGACACAGAGAGATTATGAGTGTGATCGTGTTTTGGGAATGAGGAAGAGTGTGTGTATGTTCTGGGAAGTAGACAAAACCGTATGTCTTTCATCAAATACAATTTTTAACTATATAGTTGCTGAAACACGTTTGTTCTGCTTCACACACATGCAGGTACTTACAATGACTTGAAGAATGGGCTTTATGGATGTATCTCCCTGTTGCATTATGGCCTGAAAAAGAATAGATCCTTATAAAAAATTTGAAAAACAACTTAAAATATTTATTTATTTTGGACAGCTTGCTATTTAGAATAAACTACAGATACTACCATCCTAAAAGCTTGCCTCAACAGGGCCACCATTACAGCTCAGTGGGCAAAGTGGCTGTTCAAGCCTAAGAAGCTGAGTTAGATTCCAGGAACTATGGAATGAGAACAACTCTGAAAGCTGTCTTCTGACCTCCATGCATTCTGTCATGTGCTCAAACACACCACACTAACAATAAGAGAAAATCAAACTAAATTTAAAAGAACCAGTCAGAGGTAACCAGTAGAAGAAAACTTTTATCACTGAACAAATCATGAAAGTGCCAGTTTCTAAAGAAAGCACACAATATGCATTGCCAAAAGTAACTCTGTTTTCTTGTGGAAACGAGATGTTTGAACACATATATTAACTACCTAGAGCTTTATTGTTTTTTGTTCTTGAACTTGTTTACTGGTTTAAAGATAGGGTCTCATGGAGCCCAAGTAGGCCTCCAGTTTGCTAAGTCCCTAAGGATGACCCTGGACTTTTGGAGCCCCTGGTTCTAGAACTCAATACTCAAGACTCTTCTCGTGAAATCAGTGGAGATAGTAACATAATGGGGAAAGGGGAGGGAACTACTCTTGCTATGTATCTCTAGCTTCCTGTCTCAGTCTATAGTGCTGGAATCACAGGAGAATGCCACCACACTCAGCATGTGAATTTTTAATTAAATAAAACATATCAAACATGGAAGATCTGTAAAGTATAATGAGCTAATGTTTTCCAAATGAATAAGGCATGCTAACAGAAACACACAGCTGAGCATGGTCACACATGCCTGTAAATCTTAATACTCAGGAGACTGAGGAAAGATTTCATGAGTTCAAAACCATGTTGAGCTATTATACAGGATTCCAGAAATAGACCTACATACTCAATGGATTTTGTCAACTGAATAAAACTGGTGTGACAAATCACCATACATAAAAAGCAAACCCAAGGGCTGGGGCTATATGCTTGGCAAAGCTTGGTGACCCAAGTTGATCCCCAAAACCTGTGTTTTAAAAAGCTATGTGTGGTGGCATTCAGTGCTGGGGAGTTAAGGACAGGCAGAAATCTGGGGCTCACTGGCCGGCCAACCAGCCCAGTCTACTCGACAAATTGCAGGTCATAGTGAGAGACCCTGTCTCAAACACCACCCAAGGTTGAATTCAGGTCTACACACATATGCACATGGATCTGTGTACACACACACACACACACACACACACACACACACGCACACGCACACGCACACGCACACGCACACGCACACGCACACGCACACGCACACGCACACGCACACGCACACGCACACGCACACGCACACGCACACGCACACGCACACGCACACGCACACGCACACGCACACGCACACGCACACACACAAAATAATTAACTAACTCGTTAATTAACCAACCAAAAGTTGGAATGGCTCACAGGGCTGAAAGCAAATCTAAACTTTAGAACTTTAGAAGAAAAACAAGGGACAAAAGATTTGTAACCTAGAGATAAGTAAAAAATTAAGAGTACAATTCAGAAAAGGAAAACTGGAGTTACAGATGGTTGTGAGCGTTTATTTGTGTGCTAAGAATTAAACCTGGGTCCTCTGGAAGAACAGCCAGTGCTACTAACTGAGCCATCTCTCCAGCCACCATTGCGCATGTCTTCAATCCCAGCACTCGGGAGGCTGAGGCAGACAGATCTCTGTGAGCTTACAGCCATCCAGGGTTACAAAGTGAGATCTTTCCTCAGGAAGAAACAAAAAGAAGCCAATGAGATAACTTAGAGGGTAAAGGTGCTTGCTGCCAAGCCAGGTGACCTGAATTCAAACCCTGGGTCCCACATGGTAGGAGAGCAATTTGTGTAAGTTAAGTAGTCCTCTGACCTCTACCTATGTTCAGTGGTACACGGGTACCCACACTCACATAAACAGATGTTTAAAAAAAAATGGAAAGGCCAAGCTGGGGGTATGTCTCGGCGGTTGAGCTCTTGTCTAGTGTGGAGGCCCTGTGTCTGACCCTTAAAACCTTAAATGAAGCCCGGCAGTGGTGGCTCACGCCTTTAATCCCACCACTCGGATCTCTGAGTTTGAGACCAGCCTGTTCTACAAGAGGTAGCTAGTTCCAGGACAGGCTCTAAAGCTACACAGAGAAACCCTGTCTCAAAACAAAACAACCTTAAATGAAAGCGAAAATGGTTGTGATGTTTATATTTAACAAAAGACATGCACAAAATAAATTCCTCCAACTCATTAATGCCACAAACTTCAGGACATGCGCTTGTTCTGTAGCTTATGCTAGCCTGGAGCTCCTGATCCCCCAGCTTCTCCTGCACTGGGATGAACTACTACATTCTAAACAAAACCAAATTCAAGACAACAACAACAAAAAAAAATGTAGACACTTCATAAGCTATACAAATGGACAATAAAGACACTGAAGGATATTCAATGTCATTCCTAATCAAGGAAATACAAAGATGACAGTGAGCCAGCATTACACTCACACATTCATCAGGATAGCAAAACACAGAGATTGATTGGCACTGAGCAGTGGCAACTAGAATTTTCATAAACACTGTGGAAAAGTTGGAGATTTCTATCAAATTAAGCATTCAGTTACCATATGACCTAGCAACTGCACTCTCAGATATTTATCTGTAAATATCTGGATTACTTTACATATACAAGAAACTTAATACATATTACATAATTTATGTATGTTATGAATAATTTATACGTGATATATTTAAATATTTATATGTAGAAAGATTTTCGCATAAATGTTCAAAGCATCTTCATTTACAATAGCCAAAAAATAAAAATAAAGTTGGGTTTAGTATAGTACAGGCCTGTAGTCCCAGCTATTTAGCAGGTTGAAACAGGAAATGACTGAGGCCAGGAGTTCAAAGCCAATCTGTGTAGCATAATGAGACCGTTTCTCCAAAAAAAAAAAAAAAGCAAAACTGAAAGCACAAATCCCCCATCCTTGTGTACTTTTTGGGGAGGGTATCATACGGACCAGGTTGGCACTGAACTTACTGTGTAGATAAGTACCAATCCTCTCAAGTTCTGAGATGACTGACCCAGACCAACCACCACATTAGAAATTTTGTGCAATGCTGGGGATTAAACCCGGGGCTTCACGAAAAGCATGCAAGCACTCTACCAACTTGGCTACATCTCTGGACCTTTTTTCTTCCTTTATCCTTTTTGAGACAGGATCTTACTATGCAGCCTAAGCTGGTTTTGAATTTTCAACCTCTGCCTTACTTCGTTTACAGAAATGTTCCACAGAACCCAGCTGGAAGACTGTTGTTTTTTAATCCTTATTCATAGTGTGCGTGTAGATCAGAGGACAACATGCATGAGTCAGTCCCCTCCTTCTACCGTGCAGGTGCTGGGGATCAAACTCTGAACATGAGGCTTGATACTTCACCACTGAGCCATGTTGCAGGCCCCCATGAACAACTTTTTCTTTGAAAAGTTATTTCTGCCCTGGGTGTGATAGCTCACACTTGTAATCCCAGCACTACAGAGGTAGGAGGACTACCACAGGTGGAAGCTAGTCTGGGCTCCACAGTGAGGCAGAGGCCATAGACTACATGGCAAGACCCTGTTTTAAAAACACTGTCAGCCAGGCAGTGGTGACACACACCTTTAATCCCAGCACTTGGGAGGCAGAGGCAGGTGGGTCTCTGAGTTCGAGGTCAGCCTGGTCTAAACAGTGAGTTCTAGGACAGCCAGGGCTGCACAGAGAAACCCTGTCTCCCCCAAAAAATAAACAAACAAATAAGCCACTGAGCAAGGTGAAGCAAAGGGCAATGGTTTCATTAAGCACCTTTCCATTCTGTTCAACCTTAAAACCACATCTGTCATTACTTTACTGTTCTTAATTTAAAACGCATCATAAACACTCAAAGGAAAAATATTCTCTGGGACACAGCATAACACAAACACTTAAAAGTATTTAAATTGGGGCTGAAAAGGCGGCTCAAGGGTAAGAGCACTGGTTGCTCTTCCCAGAGATTCTGAGTTCAACTCCTAGCACTCAATGGTGGCTCACAACTGTCTATAACAAAGCAATCTGATGCTCTTTGGTATGCAGAAGTATATGTAGACATAACATCCATATAATATATATATTAAAATTTCCAAAAAACTTACTAGTAAAAATAACGAAGCAACAAAATATAACAGTCAAAGGAATGGACAGTTTATACCTCTTTGCATTTTAACACCTTTGGCTGTAAAAAGTGACATTAATAATAAAAAATGAACTGATATTGGAAATCATAAAAATATTAATTTCCTTGCCTTTTTCTCTCTATAACTAAATTATGTAAAGATATACACAATGGGCTGTCCAGGAGTATAGTTTAGCAGTAGAGTGCTTGCCTAGTGTACACATCTGAGGTCCTGGGTTCGATCTCCACCCCTGGGGACAGTAAGTATATAGTCTTGTACTTATCCTACTTATCACATTAGTTCCAAGCATAACCTCATTTTATCATAACTTCTACCCCCAAATAACTCTATTTTCAGCCATTTGCTTAACCATTTGGGGCCTGAAGCTTTTGTGCTAAAATGACACTTGTTAGCTAATAATCAGGTAACCAGGGGTCTCCACAATCCATCACCGTCAACACATATTAAAACACTATGGAGCCTGGCATGATGGCACATCTTTAATCCCAGCACTCCCAGAAGAGGCAGTTATCACTGTAAATTCAAGGCCAGCCTGGATTGTCTTTAAAAACAAACAAAAACATTTTTTACTTACAAAACCTAAAATAAATAAATAAAAATCCCACGACTTAATGATCAAAGTCTAAGTAGTATTTCACCCAATGTCGGAAACAGTTTTCTAAAATGTTTCTATTTAAGAAAAACTTTATCAAATTATTTAAATAACCCTATGAACATTCTTTTTTTTTTAAGATTTATTTATTTATACAGCATTCTCTGAATGTATTCCTGCAGACCAGAGGAGGGCACCAGATCTCATTATAGATGGTTGTGAGCCTCCATCTGGTTTCTGGGAATTGAACTCAGGACCTCTGGAAGAGCAGCCAGTGCCCTTAACCTCTGAGACATCTCTCCAACCCACGAACATTCTTTTTTTTTTTCTTTGAATTACAAACAAGATTGAATTACATGACAATCCCAGTTCCCTTCTCCCTCCCTTCCTCCCCTACCACCCCCCCCAACTAAAACCCTACCGATTGAATATCCTTTCTTCTAATCTACACCTGACTCAACCTTTCTGCTCCCTCATGACCTCTGCATCTTTCCTCTTCTTCCCTTCTCATTCTCGTAGCTCCCTCCCCCTCTTCCCATGTTCTCAATTTGCTCAGAGGATTGTGACCCTTTCCCCTTCTCCAGGAGACAAAGTTTGTCTCTTTTAGGGTCCTCCTTGTTTACTGGTTTCTCTGACAGTGTGGATTGTAGGCTGGTAATCCCTTACTCTATGTCTAAAATCCACATATGGGTGAGTACATATCATGTTTGTCTTTTTCGATCATTCTTTATAAAAGTAAAAAGTCATTTGTAATTTGCCTTAAGGGTACAAGGTGGCAGCCATAATATTAATCAGGACAATTCAAAACTCAAATCCCAGCTTCAACATTAATACATCCCTAATGTAGCCAAAGAGCCCTTTCTGCTTTCTGACAACTATTTTTCCCGTTTATTTTCTTCTAAGCTGGTTCTTTTCTCCCTTCCACCTTTATCCCTTTCTTTCCATTGTTTCACTCATTCATACATCTAGTAAACATTTACTAGGCACTAAAACTTGAAAGAAGGGACACGGGACGTGGTTGTAGGCCTGTCTCTACAACCTAGTATAGGAACCACAAAGTAATTAATACAAGTCAAATAAACGTGCATTTACATCTGTGATGATGCGATGTTAGCAGGGGATAAACACTAAGTTCAGAAACACAATCCTCTAACTAGCCCTGTGCAATGGGTACTCAGTACCACCCTTATTTTACAGACAAGAGAAAGAGTTCAGAATGTTGCCCAAAGTCATATATACTATAATACGGGAACAAAAAGAAATTAAACGTCTCAAAATAAATGGATTCAGTCTAGTTACTTTGCCAACCAACTCAGTAACAACTGAGCTGAACTGGAATGTCTTTTAGCAAAAAAAAAAAAAAAAAAAAAAATAGGAATAATGATCAGTAGCCTCTAGGGCAAGAATTTATTTATTTTTTTTTTTTTTAAAAAAGACAAGGCCTGTCAAGGGGTCAGTAAGCAGGGACTGTGGGGAAGAGAGTGTGTTGAATGAAACTGACTAGTTCAGACAACAAATGATTGTTCCAGTGCGATGTAAAATAGAGATCTGTGGGGAGTTAAAACAGACTTCAATTGGTGATGGAGTTAGGCATCCAGTCAGGCATAATGTAGGGAGATGGATTCCTTAGTTTCTAATGAGTATAAATTAAAAAATGGTGTAATTCACTGAGACAGAGACATCCACAAATTCAGACTGAGGGCCAGCAAGAAGGCCCTGTGGGTAAAGGTGCCTGCTGTGCAAGCCTTGATACCTGAGTTCAATCCCCAGAGAAGTGGGGATCTAACCAAAAACTTCAGGAAGTTGTCCCCTGGCTTCCCAGGCACATTCGCCATCCCCACCACATCAAACATATGCACTCGTGCATATACATACATTCACACGTAATTCTTTTTAAAATTCAGACTAAAGGACATAATGGATTTGCTGATATATGTTCAATTTGAGATGACTCTGAGGGTAGAGGGCAGAGAGAGTCGTTTAGATCGAAGGTAGCTCAGCAGAAAAAAATTAAGAATTGACATGCAGATGAAGACCTAGTCTACACAGGGCTTTGAGTCAACAAAAACTTACATACGGGCCTGCAAGGAAAGAGCTGCCGACGTTAAGTCACAGAACCCTAGCAAGAGAGTAGTGTTAGCAGAAAGAAGCAATGGCCAGCAAGCCCAAACAATAAGGTCAGCTGAAAACCGAAAAACGTCTTCCGACTTGGCTACTTGGGAAGCCACTGGCGACTTCTGACAACGTTTTCTCTCGTGACCAGTGAAAAGTCTAATCTGAGTCAAGAGTTGAGGAGGTAAAGAAAACAAACAACTCTAGAAAAGTTTGGAGGTGATGCGAAAGAAAGGAAAGAGAGGCCGCAGAAGGTAAATAGGAGCATGTTTGTCTAGTTTTCGTAGGCAGTAAAAGAAACGTGAGCTTGTATGCGGAACCGGGATGCCTCGCGGAAAGAGTATTGACCAGAGACCCCGGGAGGCTTCCCCCGAGGCCACGCAATATCCTCCCCGAGGCTCTCCCGTCTGCTCCCTCCCCTGTCTGCTCTGCACCGCTCCAGGCCCGTGCTGCCAGAGCCATCGGCCCGGTCCCGGGTTGTCTCCTTACCGCAATGGCCCCCTCGCTCAGGTGTCCCACCATGGCTGCCTCACTAACTCCCGCGCTGGAGCTCCAGCACTGCCCGAGCTTCACTGCCGGGGTACCGCGGGCTGCTCACCGATTGGTCAAAGCCTCTGTGCGTGCATCTCCCAGCCCCAACGTGCGCGCGGTACGAGGGGCGGGCCTAGGCGCCGGCAGCCACCCCATTGGCTACCGCGCGGCGGGCGGAGCACGTGACCCGTGAGGCCGGGTTCGAGGCCTAGTGGCGGGATGGCGGGATGGCGGGAACCGAGGGCGGGGCGCTGGACCACGGTACGACTGTGTCTGCGCGGTGCGGCTGAGCGGGTCTCTTGCCAGCTGTCGGAAGTTTGCCCGCCCGTTTGGCGGTTGGACAGAATGGCAGCCCAGGGGACAATCGGACCTGTGCGTTGGTAACTCTGCTGCTAAATATAGTCAAAGCAGTGACTTGAGTCCTTCATCACGCAGTGCGTGCCCCGTTCGCGTGCCAGGCCCAGAGCTTGACACTGTGGGATAAACAAGGTAAATCAGACTCAGTCCCCGCCCTCAGAAGAGCGTTGTCCGACCTGGGATTTGAGGCACCATGAGCCCCGCCTCAGGGGAGACGCGATAAAGGTCACATGTGTGGTGAAGTTCCGGGGTGGGGGAGGGGGGATCAGTGAAGCTTTGGAGAGGAGATGCGGTTTAAACTGAGTCAAATTGCATGGGAATTTGTCAGATGGATTCCTAGAGAGGGTAATGGTGTTCCTAAAAGCACGAATGGCCTACGCAAAAGTACTGGAGAGTCTGGAGTGTTGTCTGTAATTCCAGCCCCTGGGATGCGAAGGCAGCAAAAGTTCAAGGTCATCCCTAACAACACTGTAAATTCGTGGTCAGCCTAAACTACATGAGACCCTCAAAAATAAAAATTTGGGGATCTGGAGTGGTATACTGCTCAGGAGGTAGAAGCAGACAGATTTCTGTGAGTTTGAAGCCAGCCAGGGCTATATAGGAAGACCCGATCTCAAAAAGAAATAACAAAACAAAACAACAACAACAAAAAAAAACAGCAAAAGCCTGAGCTATGAGCTGAAAGAAAGATCTGGAGGTTGAAACAGAAAACTGAACCATCTTAGAAATTAAAATTTTGCTGGGCGTTGGTGGCGCATTCCTTTAATCCCAGGACTAAGGAGGCAGAGGCAGGCGGATCTCTGAGTTCGAGGCTGGCCTGGTCTCCAGAGCGAGTGCCAGGACAGGCTCCAAAAAAAAAAAAAAGAAAGAAAGAAAGAAATTGAAACTTTAACTTCATAGTTGCTGGGGTGAAGGCCTTGGACAACTAGGGTAAATAGGTCTAGAAAGACTGGAATATGAATCCAAAAATATGTTTATATAACCACTATCTACCATAGTTTCTCGAACAGTCTTCCAAAGAATATTTCTGCGTGACAGGATGTCCAGTGACTTGGTACCACCGATTCTATCTGCTTCGGCATATCAGAAACTATAGAGAAGACCTGAAGAGTTGATTTTGCTGCTTCTCACTTGCTTGGATGAAATCTCCATTTTTCTACAATTGTGCATTTATAGAAAGCTGAGTGCTTATTTTCTGACATTGCAGAGCTAAGACAGCATGGATTTGCCTGTGGATGAGTGGAAATCCTACCTTCTTAACAAGTGGGCTTTACTCCCGAAGTCTGTGCAGGACGAAATTTCTACAGCAGAGACTTTGAGTGGCATCTTTCTTCATTCCTCTTCCCTTCTTCAGTAAGTGAATGGAAACCTTAGGGAAATTTTGATCTGGAAAACGTTGTCTCTTGTCATTTGATCTGAAGTTATATCTTGTTCTGATTGGAAGAGTAGCTTTGTGTTTTTTGTATTATGGGGCACTGAGCAGTCCTTGTCTGTTTTCACATTTCTCCCTAGTCTGTGATTACAGAATGTGTAGGGATGACTAGTTTGCTATTTTGGTATGGGTTATATTTCAGGAATTTAGTGTCTTGCTGTAGTCCCAAGGCCATAAACCTTTCTGTCACTCAAAGACTATATGGTGCATATTGTGTAGCTGCCCAAAGAAATTCATTAAATGCGATAGTTGGGAAAGAACCCTAAAGGTCATATAGTCTAGCCCCAGTAATTTTCAAATTCTATGGGCTACATTCATTAGTAAAATAAACATTTTACATCACAACCTAATAAACATGTGCATATGTAGAAAACAGTGGAATTTCCCATTTCAGTTATTCAATTAATATTATTTTTAATTTTGAATATTCTGAAATTACATCATTTCCTCCCTCCAACCTTCCCATGTACCCCTTCCCACCTTGTTCTTGCTCTCTCTCAAATTCATGACCTCATCTTATTTTAAGTTATAGTGTATGTGTGTGTGTGTATTTCTAAATATATAACTACAATCTGCCTGTTTGTATGTGTATGACTTTAGGACTGACCACTTGGTACTGAATAGCCAACTAGAGGCTGGTTTCCTGGAGGAGACTGTTATTTCTCCCACTCTCAACATTCCTTAGTTGCTTGTAGTATATCTAACATTGGGCCCCTGTGAGAATTTTTCCCCCTTTCAGGTTAACCTTTATATTGGTGTCATCCTTATTCAGTCAGGTCTTGTTTAGGCAGCCATGCTGTTGAGTCTTCATAGGTGTAGCTCCCCTGGCATTTCTAGGAGATGCAATCTCATAGCAGACTTTCTGTGGCTCTAAGAGTCTCTTTCCACCCTCTTCTTCCTCCATGTTCCCTGAGCCTTAGCTGCAAGAGTTATGTTGTAAATGTATCAGTTGGGGCTGAGCACCACATGATCACTTGTTCAGTCAATATTATTGATTGCTCAGTGGCAATCAATAATATTAGCCCCTGCACTCTGGAGGCAGTAGACTGGTCTATTTAGAGAGTTCCAGGCCAGTATGGACTATATAGTGAGATCCTGTCTCAAAAAAAAAAAAAATAGTGATTGTTTCAGTAGCACATATAATAAAAATTGGGACAAAAACATCAAATGACAAAGATCACCAGGAAAGGAGATGAGTGTATTTGCACCCAGCAGATTCAAGCAATAGCACAAAAGCTCAGCTCGTCTGCATCACAGCAGAATGAGCTCAGAGAGTAGACAGAAAATAGTAACAGACACAGTGGGTACTGGGGAAACACAGGTGGCACATGCTATAGGAAGTAATGACCTCAGACAATCACAGAAACTGACGTCTGCCAGCAACCCAGTGAGCCTGGGAGTCTTTCCCAGGCCTTCCAAAGAGGATTCTCACATTGTAAGAACCTGAGCAGAGAGGCTCAGGTTTCTGACCCACAGGACTGTTCAGGTAATAAATGGCAGCTGTGTTGAGCTGCTCAGTTTGTGGAATTTGTTGAACAACAGTAGAAAACTAGTTGTCGGAGGCTTGAGGGAAGAGTAATGTGAGATGACTGTATTTTCAAGTAGAGATGAGCAAACTAAGACTGCCAGATAAGGTCCATCCAACTGTATGTTTTCTCTTAGGACCACAACTAAGAATGCTTTTACCAGATAAACATTTGCAGTTCATTTTAGGGTAAGGAGCATTGGCCTTGAACCCTAATTAAGCAAAAATAACATGGGTTATGTTTTTGTTTTTAATAAAAAAGGCCAGTGAAATGGCTTAGCAAGAAAATGCTTGCTTCTGTAGGAAACAAGCCTGACCATCTAATATGCAAGCTTGGTGACCTGAGTTCAATCCTTGAAACCTAAAGTTCAATCCTACCACATAAAGGTAGAAAGAGAGATCCAACTCCACACAGATGCTGTCGAATATGAATACACACACAACACTAACAATAGTAATAAATAGAAATTCCAAAAAGAAAATAATCCCATTGTTGTCATTAGTAGACTTATATTATAAAAATTATATTCTACTATTATATTTTAAATTTTGTCAAAAGAAGAAATCTGCTTGCTGAATGAATAACTATAATAGCTTAAAATTTTCTTCTTGGTTTACAAAGCCTAAATAATCTAGCCTTCTACATGAAAAGTTGGCTGAGCCCTGATTCTTCTTTTTAATGATTTTCTATTTAAATTTCTTTTACTTTTGTGTATGTGTGTGTGGCATATGCATGCACGTGCCACAGCTTACATGTGGAAGTCAGAGGACAACTTTGCCAGGTGGTTCTTTCCTTCTATCATGTGGGTTCTAGGGATTAAACTCAGGTCATCAGACTTGGCAGGAAGTGCCTTAGGTCTGAACAATCTCACTGACCCTGAGCCCTGTTTTAAAGCTTCACTGTCTGCCGTGTTAAGGACAGACAGCAGAAGGAGCCAGAGTAGAAGCAGAGACACTGGAAGGCCACTGCTATAACCCCAATGAGAAGATGAATGTAGGCCAAAGTGACCGTAGTTAGGGTAGGAAAAAGCATTTGGATTCTGAGGTAGATTTAATAGCAGTTCTTGAGATGAAATGTGTTGTGTAATAGAATGTGAGAAGTAACATGGCCCCAGGGAGAAGGTAGAGGATGATGTTGCCATATCTGGTAACCACATATGGGGAACAAAGATCCATACTTCATATTTGAGTTGCATGTGTCCAGTGGATACCTAATGGCAATGTTTAAACATGTTTGGAATTTAAGAAGAGGCCTGGGAAAGAGATACAAACCTGGGAGAGCTCTGTGGCCTTTAGAACCATCAAACTGGTGAAGTCACCCAGCAAGAATGTGTGGATGCTCACTGCCTGTGCTGTACTGTGACTGTTCACCCTCTGTTTACCTCATTTTGAAATGCTAATCAGAACCCACTAAATTCATTTCATGACCCACTGAATCAGGACCTGCAACTTGGAAAAAAAAATGAAAAATGTCTAAAGCGGCCTACAGGATCTGTGGATTCCCTTTACAGAATTTCAAAAATGCTAAGGAACTGATGAAAGTATGGATAATAGGCAGAGTTTTGCCTAGATGAATCAGTCTGGTTTACTAACAGAAAATGTAATATGCAACAAGAATCATTTGAATATTCGATGCATTGGTAGGAATGTAAATTAAAGAGGGGGGTTTATCTGTTTAATGAAGGAATTCCTCAAGACTAGCCTGGACTCCCTTCCGTTTTCACTTTGTATTCTCAACTGAGGTAGTTGAATTCAGACCAGTGACATCATTTCTCTGAAATGTCCTTAAAATGTATCTTAACCCCTGACCTCTTTTTTGAGACAAAAAATCTATAAATCTAGCTAACTTCTTGAAAATCTCAAAGATACTTAAGAATTCAGCACATTCAGAAACAAACACATGATTTTGCCATCAAAATCAGATTCCTTTCCAGTGGTTCCCATCCTAGTGAATTACAACAGATTCAGTTCCTAACCTGGAAATTTTAGAACCTGTTCTAGTTTCATTTCTGTTGCTGTGATAAAATATCCTAGCATAAAGCAACTTGGAAGAGGAAAAGGTTTATTTGCCTTGCAGCTTGGGATATGGTCCATGATTTCTGGAAAGTCAAGGCAGGGACTAAGAGCATCATATTCACAGCCAAGAACAGAGAAAGAATAAGCACCTGGATCCTGGCTTGCTTGCCTCCTTGCTCTTAGCAAGCTTCCTCCTCTCAGATATGCTGGAGACCTCCTGCTCAGGAAATGCTACTGCTCACCGTGGGCTGGGTCTTCCCACATCAATTTACAAGCAGGATAATCCCTTATCAACCAGCCCCTAGCCCACCCCAGTGTAGACAGTCCCTTCATGGAGACTCTTCCTAGATGATTCTTGGTTCTGTCACATTAACAATTAAAGCTAACTATCAGAGAGCTATTCTGTATTGAAAAACTAAATTTGTAAGCTAGGCCTAGTAGCACATACCTATAATGCCAACATGAAGGAGGATCACAAGTTCAAGGTCATTTATAAAGCCAAGTGTGAGACAATCATAGACTACGTGAGACCTTGCCTTCATAGACAAGAAAGAACAGACTAATTCATGATATCCCTAGCCCAGCCTACATCAGAGCATCTTACAGACTCTCTTATTGAACTATACCAGTTACAATCCAGTTACAACCTAGAAACTGGCTAATTTCTTTCCTTCTCCCTTATATTCAGCATTAAATCTATTCTCAAATCTTGCTTTTGCAGTATGTATTGGCAAATAGGACACAGCAGGCAATGTTCCCAAGACAACTAAAAAAATTCTACTGCAACAAACATATTTTACAGACATTAGATAATAGCAAGGTCTAGATGAACTAAAATTTCTGAAGGGAAAGACTGCTTCTTAGTGATCATTAGCTATTTTCTTTCCTGAGGATAAATTGTAGACCAAGGAATGAGGATGAACCCAGCAAAGTGACCATTCTGGGAGAAAGGGAAGTTGACAGACTCTTAGAAGTCATTTGGGTCTGATCTGGTGGATTGACAAATGGGCAAATTCATAGCCTGAAAACAAAACCAGTTTTCCCCAGTTCTCAGAAACAGAAAGACAATTAAAAAGGTGGAGTAAAACCTTCAGTCTTATAGTGGAGGAGCAAAATCCCACAGCCAGAAAGGACACTGCAGCAAACACAAATGATCTCTCTGTCAAGACGTTTGCCAGATGTTGAATGAATGTGATGTGACAAGCCACAGATCCAAGTTCAGAGTCCCCTAAGACTAAAACCTTGGGGCCTAAAGAAATGGAGAGTTCTTTCTAGGCTCTCAAAATGAAGCTCAGGAAGACTATTGGTCTTCCAAGGATCAGTGAAAAAGTAGCTATACTGAATTTTGTGGGTTTTTTTTTTTTTTTTTAAGAAAGTGTCTGTCCATGTAGCTCAGGCTAACCTCAAGTTTGATCCTTCTGCCTCAGCCTCACTAGTGCTAGCAGAAGGAAGCATGCTGCCTAAACATGAAGACCTTGAGTTCAAAACCCTGGTACCTACACTCATTAGAATTCTCTAAAGTAATAGAACTGATAGAATGAATATATGATTTTTGTTTTATTTGGTTTTTTTTGTTTTGTTTTGAGATAAGAGTTTCTCTGTGTAGCCTTGGCTGTCCTGGAACTCACTCTGTAGACCAGGCAGGCCTTGAACTCAGAGATCCATCTGCCTCTGCCTCCCTAGTGCTGCATTAAAGATGTGTACCACAATACTTGGCAGAATATATGCATTAAAATGGGGTTTACTAGATTGACTTACTTAATATGGTCTGGGTGATCCAACAGTGGCTTGTCTGACACTGGAGGGGCTGAGAATCTAGTAGTTGCTCAGTACACAAAGCTGGGTGTCTCAGCTGACCCAGCTGAAAGGCCTTCAGGATTCCTGGAAAGCTTCTGGTCTTCAGTCTACATTGGAAGTTGGAAGAAGTTGCTTGTAATATCAGCAAAAGAATGTCTCAACAACAGGACAGGTGAACTTGCCAGCAAGAGTCAAGGCAAACAGGCAAAATGGCAAGGTTTCTTTCTCCATGTCCTTTTATCTGGGCCACCACTAGAAGGTACTATCCACATTTAGTGTGGGTCTTCTCACTTTAAATGATGTGATCAAGAAACTCACTCAAGGGGGCTGGAGAGATGGCTCAGCGGTTAAGAGCACTGGCTGTTCTTCCAGAGGACCTGGGTTCAATTCCCAGCACCCACATGGCAGCTCACAACTGTCTGTAACTCCAGTTCCAGGAGATCTAACACCTTCACACCAATGCACATAAAATAAATTTAAATAAACTAGTTTAAAAAAAAAAAAGAAAAGAAAGAAACTCACTCAAGCCAGGCAGTGGTGGTTCACACCTCTAGTTCCAGCACTTGGGAGGCAGAGGAATGTGGATCTCTGTGAATTCGAGGCCAGCCTGGTCTACAGAGTGAGTTCTAGGACTGATTCACAGGGAAACTCTGTCTCTAGAGAAAAAGGGGGGTGGGGAGGAGAAACTCACTCACAGGGGATAGGGGTGGGTGGGGCTCAGTGGTTAAGAGCACTTGTTGCTCTTGCAAAGGACTTGGGTCAATTCCCAGAACTCATGGTAGTTCCCAACCAGCAGTTATTCCAGTCCCATGGGATCCATCACGTCTTCTGACCTCTGGACACAGATATGGTGTACATACATACATGCAGGTAAAGCAGTCATACACATAAAATTAAATAAGAAAATCCCTCTCTGGGACTGGAGAGATGGCTCCTTGGTTAAGAGCACCAGCTGCTCTTCCAGAGGACCTAGATTCAATTCCTGGTACCCACATGGCATCTCACAACTGTGTGATTTAGCACCCTTGCCCAAACTATACATGCAGACAAAAATGTCAATGCACATAAAAAATAAATTAAAAAGGAAAAAGGAAAGTGCCTCTCAGGAATGTCAGCAGCTTGAATTTTAGTTGGTTACAAATCCAGTCAAGATGACAACTAAGATGAGGCAGACATGACCGAATACATCTATAACCTGATTTTACTTAGATGTGGGATAGAGACCACCAGATCCCAGGGGCTCACCAGACGGCCTAGCTGAAAAAGTAAGCTCCAGGTTCAGTGAGAGAGCCTGTCTCAAGAAATGAGATGAAGAAGCAATTGAGGAAGACATCCATACATCATCCTCTGGCCTCCATATGCACCAGCACACAGAGATGCACACATTCATACAACATACACACACACACACACACACACACACACACACACACACACACAGTAAAATTAAATTAAAAATAAGATAAGTAGGATGTGAGGTGATAGCATAGACTTATAATCCAAACACTTGAGAGACTGAGACAGGAGCACCAAGAATTTGAGGCCAGGGGCTGGAGAGATGGGTCAGCAGTTAGAAGCATGAGGACCCAGGTTCAATTCCCATCACTCTCGTGGCAACTCAAAATCACCTGTAACTCCAGTTCCAGGGGATCTAAGCTGGCTAGTCTTTAGATCAACTTGACACAGCTAAGATCATTTGAGAAAAAAGGAACCTCAGTTGAGAAAATATCCCCTATCAGATTGGCCTGTAGGTAAGCCTGTGAGATAATTTCTTGACTGATGATTGATGTGGAGGAGCCCAGTCTACTGTAGGTACTGCCTTTCTTGGCCAGGTGGTCCTGGCTTGTATAAGAAAGCAGGCGTAGTAAGCCAGTGAGCAGCTTTCCTACATGACTTCTGCTTCAGTTCCTGACTCCAGGTTCCTGCCTTGAGTTTCTGCCTTGACTTCTCTCAGTAATGGAGTGTGACCTGAGAGTTGTAAGATGAAATAAACCCTTTCCTCTTCAAGTTATTTTTAATCATGGTGTTTTATCCCAGCAATATAAAACCTAACAAAAAATGACCCAGTGCCCTCTTCTAGCCTCTGAGGGCACCATGTAAATATGCAGTGCACAAACATACATGCAGGCAGAAAACACCCATACACATAATAAATTTTTAAGAGAGGGCTGAGAGATGGCACAGTGGTTATGAACACTGGCTGCTCTTGTGGGGAACCCAGGTTCAATTCCCAGCACCTACACAGCAGCTCACAACTGCTTGCAATTCAAGCTCCAGGGGATCTGATGCCCTCTTCTGGCCTCCGGTGGCACCAGGCACACACATAGTATACATGACAGTAAATAATTTTAAGAGTTTGAGGCCAGCCTGGGCTACATAGTGTGACTTTTCCTCAAAGCAAACAAAATAAAAGATTAAATTAATAAATATTGGTTGAATGACATTTTAGAAAGTATATGAAATTCTGAGTTCAACAACTGGTATATATTAAAGCTCAAAATAATATATAAATGAGAATCTGGATAAACAGCTTTATGGGCAGCTCTGAGAGCAGTGTACCCTGGTGCTCTCTTCTCCAGGGAAAGCCTTTCAGTCGTTTATGCACCCCTGAGGACTTGGAAGGATAGTGCTGGCTCCAGAAATGTCCTTAAAGGGGCGTTTTCATTATTGTCTTTACCATGAAGTACTCCTTTGGGCTTTTGTTGTTTTTGCTGCTTGATTGTTTTTTGGTTCATTTTTGTTTTTTAAGGCAGGGTTAAGATATGTTGCCCTGGCTGGCATAGTACTTGCTATTTGGTCTCAAACTGTCAATCATCCTGCCTCCGCTGTGTACTGTACACCAGAGTGCTGGTGTACAGGCATGTATAACCTTGTGTGTGGCTGGAGA